TGATATAATTATTCTTATCACACAACTAATAACGGCGAACTTTAATTTCTGTCGAAGTATAGAAGCGTAGAACACAAGAAACATAGGGAATTGTAAACACTTTACTGACGATGTCTTAAGTGCTCCAATATTGGTGTTTTCGGAGGCGAAAATAATTCATGTATGGTGTGAATGCGGGTGAGATTGGTGCAAGCTTTTTCTGCTTTAGAAGTGTAGATTTAAATTAAACCTTTTAAATTGTGATTGAAAGCTCGATTTGTTGTTGAGTTGAAATGAAATGTTCCTTAGGATAATTTTTGTGTGGTATAATTCTTTATCAATTTTCAATTTTTTATACTCAGAAAGTAACAATTTGAAACAAATGAAAAAGTACGCATAAAATCCTTTGCTTCTAATAATTTTTATGAGGATAAATAATTTGTTTTGTAACACATAAAAAATTTAATGTTATACTATTTATCTTTCAAAGTTGATGCAAATTTTTCCTATTTTAAAAGTAACAATTTGAAATGATTAGATAAAATCATTTTAAGTAGGAAAAAATTAATTTTTCTTAAACATAATTTTTTCTGCGTTTGAATTTTTTCAATGAAATAAGATAGATTAAAACCCTTTATTGTTCAAATCATTTTAAAACAGTATTTAATAAATTTAAATTAGATTTTTTGTACAACCTTTAAAGTTAAATTTCTTTTATAATAACGTCAAGGGTAAACGACACAATCTCAATCATCACGATACATTTTCTTTACTCTGCCATTCGTTTAAAAATCAAACAATCATCCTGATATTAAAACGAAAATAACTTTAAAAAATTTTCGCACTCGAAAGAAAAAATAATAATCTGTTGATGATGGAGTTTCGATTAGACATTGATATAGGAAAGTAAGAAGTTGAAATAGTGTGAATTATTGTAAGACACTTTTAATTTAAAATTTATATTTGTTTCATATAACCATTTTATCGAAGTGTATTTAAATAAAAAATGTTTCGATAATCTTCCTATGAGAAATACAAATTTTAATTCAGGAAATTTTTTAAATAAGGTGATAATAAATAATAATAAATAAAATAATAATCAATAAGTAATAATCAATAAATAATAATCAATGAATAATAATCAATGAATAATAATCAATGAATAATAATCAATAAATAATAATCAATAAAATAATAATCAATAAAATAATAAATAAAATAATAACTTATTGATGATCTCGTTTATTCTTGAACCTAGGAAGGTAGGAATTTGTTATGGTATAAAGTTTTGGAGAGCATATTAATTTGAAATTTCTGTTTGTATCATATAACTGTTTTATTGAAGTGCATTTAAATAAAAAAATGTTTCGTGAATTTCCTTATAATAAAGACTAATTTTTATTTATGATAATTAATAAAATTACAACATATTAATGAAGATTTTGTTAATACATCAAACTTTGATATATAAATATAGGAATTTGGTATACGATAAAGTATTGAAAAGCATTTATTAAATTAATTAGCATTAATTTAAAGTTTCTATTTGAGTCATATAACTATTTTATAGAAGTGCATTTAAATAAAAAATGCTTCAAATACTTCGTTATAAGAAATATTTATTTTAGTTTATGAAACTTTTCAAATAAGATGAAAATAAATAAAATAATTATTTAATATAATTTAATAATAACTTATTTTTAACATAGTTCAATATGCCTCATATTTCGCACAAGGTTTCATTAATTTATTCATCATATAAATTGTAATATTTATTTTTAGAATAGAAAAGAAGCATTTAAATTTTGCGGCATTGAACATAATACAATTTATTCAAATTCAGAAATAGCTTTTCCGCTCAATGAATATTAATGATCTGCGATATTATGTTAACACAAACTTGTTTATGCGTTAAGCTCCGATGATAAATATTGTAATCAATTATAAGATTAAACTTTTTTTAGCAATTACGATCGTCTAGTGGTTAGTTTTTTCTGAATATTAAATGAGTTTACGAAACAACAAAATCAAACAATGCGAAGGTCAGTTAAGTGAATGGTATAGTAATTCTGAAGCGTTATACGTACTTTTTAGATGCATTGAGAATGAATGAAGATGTGGAATTTTTTTGTTCCTAACCTTCATCCAAGAAAAAGATGAAGTGTATCTGAGACCAAGATATGATGCGATAAAAAAATAAAAAAATCAAGATCAATTTGCTCTTTTTGTTGTTATGATTTCGGAAAAATGGGAGTAATAATAATTTTTAATCGTGTATTTATTTGTAGTGCTCTATAATAATAAAATGAATGATGTTAAGCAATTGTACAGCTTTATTTCACGCTACAAAATAATACTTAAGTCAAAAATCATTCTGCAACTATGAATCTACACAGTAAAAATTTGGGATTAAATTACGGAATAAAGTAACAGCACTTTGGGAGCGTCATCCGTAAAATCCATTTTACCGTAAAATATCACGCCGTGAATTTTACAGTAAGTTTTACCTAATCAAAGTGATTCAGTGAGCTTACGAGAATTATTATTGTGAAAATTACGGTGCATCAAATTTTTTGTTTTGTAACATGTACCGGTAAAATTGGATTTTATGGTAAAAAGTACCGGTACCCTGAGTACCAGTATTTCTTATTGTAATTTGATCAGGAATTTCTTTTTACAGTGTTGGTCTGAAATACCTTTGTGCTAAATGAGAAAAAAGGTACATAAAAATAATTTTATTCATATTTATGAAAAAAAATTGTCTACAAATACAGTTTCTTATTGTCCCTGACGTGAAGTTGTATTGTATATTATAACATATAAGATTTATAAGAATATAAAATTATAACGGAGGTATGAGATTCGATCATGAGTAAAAATAAAATGGTTATTTTTTTCGATACATTCAATGAAAAAGTGCTATTTGAGCACGAAACTACAGCACTAATAAAAAAATGTACGAGCTTATTTTAGAACGAGCTCATTTATCATTCATTATTTTCTTATTTTTTAGGTTTCAATTTTTTCTCAGGAAATACTGATAAATACATTCAAAAATATATATTCCATCAAAGTTTAGGTGTGTCTTATTTCACAAAACTTTCTAGGTTTTTATTCTAACAAAATCCATGTATACTTAATGTCAAAATGCTCTTACTGTCATTATTATTTTGTAAATAAGAGTTTTAAGAAGTGCATTTATTATGTAGTGTTTTATTATTTATAAGATAAATCATGTTTTGTTTTAAATTTTTTGAGCTATAAATACGTGGTTGCCGTAATCGTGTTTAATTCTGCTATGTGCACAAATAAAATTATTATTTTTGTCGCTTTCGAAATGTAACTTAGTGGAAAAGTTCTACTGCAAGAAGTATTTAACTCGCTAGCTATATCCAACTTATAGATCAAACTTAACTTATAGATCAAATAACAGCAACAAAACAGGCACAATCATTGATCTTCACTATCTTCTTAAAATTTCAATTACTTTTTAGTTTTATCCATAACTTTACCAAAGTATAATTACTTGCCTATAAATTTCTACAGTAACAAATGATTATTTCGAAATTCAGAAAAAAAGATTTTGTTAAAAGTTAGAAACATAAGATAAAGTTTTTTTACTTAACTATGGTTTCAAATGTAAAACATAACAACAAAAGAAGCATGCAACATTTTTCAGAATGGATTATTCTTTATGTGTAAAAGTATACATATTTTTTTTCCTTTGGAAATGATAACTCCTTCGTAATATAGATTTATTAATTTAATTTACATTGATTTGCATATATTTTTTAAAAATTTCATTTTATTAACAGCGCAGACCAACCGAGTTGACAAAATTTTAAAATGTTTTGGTTTTTTTAGTGAATTTGTTACGAAAACGTGATATTTTATCATTTTAAAGGGACACAGAATGAGAAAAATCCTACAAAAATCTTTTTTGTAGGTTTTTGAAATTAAAAAAAAAATCGCATTTAATTCAGTAATATGCAGCAAACTGTGTTTAAATCGGAGTTTTTTTTACTGAGTTATAAGATTATGAATTTGGAAAAGCCCATCAATCAATCAATATGTAGTTCCGGTTGACGAAGATGCTTTTTCTCGTAATGGAATATTTCAATGCTCACAGAACTTCAAAAAGTTTCTTGCTCACCAGTTTTTATTTTATTGTTTTTAGCAATTTTTTAGATACTCTTCGAAGTGTCTTGCTTTATTTTAAATGCATTTGATTAATTCAATAGAGTAATTTAATTTTTTAATAAATGAGCTAACATAATTAAAACGCGTTTTTCGAAGAGAATTTTGGTAACAAAATAAAAATTTAATGGCTCGGGACGTTATGCTTTTATATTGTTACTATAGGCACTTAAATTTATTTAAATACCAATAAACAACGTATTTGGGTAAACATTTAATCAAAAAAAAAATTAAAATTTGCTCTCAAGGAACTTTTTAATTACTAACAATTAAAAGCCATATTTTTAGCTATAATTTAAAATATAATCATCATTCTTTCGAAAACATTTTACACAGATTTATATTAATGTTAGCAATATTCAGTTAAAATTTGAAAATGATAGCATAAAAATTAAAATTTTTTGTTTTGAAATTCCAGTGTCCCCATAAATAACGCTCAATAAAGTCAACTCACGTCGGTATATCTTGAAAGAAATTCCGGATCAAAATAGGGTGTAAAGTACCAGCACTTCAGGCGCATTATTCGTACAAAATCCATTTTCACGGTAAAATATTATACTGTAATTTTTACAGTAATATTTATTTTATTCAATTGATTCGGTGATTTTACGGAAATTATTACTGTAGAAATGGATTTTATGATAAAAAGTACCGACACCCTGAGTACTGGAACTTTTTACCGTAATTTGATCCGGGATTCTTCACAGTGCAAGACTAGAATAAAAAGTTGTAACTTTTCGTTAGATGTGTTCTGAAAATTTCGTTTTAAACAGCATTGTATGACTTTATAAATATTTAATTGAAATATATCTTTCATTCCTTAGGAGATATCTAGTGATAGCTTCAAATATTGTCCGGCCAGGTCAAGTGTATCGCGTGTGTGTATCTATATTATCCTCATCAAATCCTCTCATTGTAAGAGCTTCACTTCACCGTGATGGTGAACAAATTGTATCCGCGACTGAAACAGTCAATCCACAACATGTTTCTACTTTACTTATGCAAGTAAGTTATTTTGTTTACTTATGCAAAGTAAATAAAGTCGTATGATTTATCTCCAGATTTTATAGATTTGCTATTTTTTTCATTAAGCGAGCAAATTCATCGAGCTGGTATTAAGTACAACAACTACAATTATTAAGTACAACAATTTTTTCAGCTTATAAAAGAAATCAATGCCGAAAAACTATGGCGTATAAGAATAAACGGATAAAAAATGGCTCCAGTGTAAAGTTCTGGGAAGGATATTAAAAAAATTATAATTAAACAACGTTGCGCAACAAAATATTAATTAAAAAAATTTACAATCAACTTTCAAAACCATTTTATGGTCTAGAATTGAATTATTATTGAATTTCAAATAAGTTTTGTTCATGACCAAACGAGAAAAGTGAAGGTAGAGTTGTTAAGACTCTAAGAGGGCCAGGTGAAGCTCTATTCCCACCGGCAGCTTGAAGTCTAGCGAGCTTCAGATTGATGGTCAGAGAAGTACAAGCAGCCAGGGTGCGTTACTGACCACATTGCCTCCATCATGTCGTTGGTCTCGAAAATGTGGTCTCTCTAATAATATCCCACAGCAAAAAACTTGCTATTAGTTAAATGTGTGCCTTTTTACTTTTATAAAAGATTAAACGCTTATCGCCTTTTTTTGTATTTCCTTTAATTCTAAAATAAAATGAATTAAAAACGTTAAAAAGGATCTATTTTACGAACGAAATGATTTCTTTTTGCTTTTATTAACAATGAATAGATAAGTAACCCAAATGTGAACGTTTGTTTTTTCTGCATTTATTAATAATTTGTTTCCTCTAACTTAGAAATGTTTTGACTTCAATTTTTGCAAGGATTCTAAAAATAGACATAAAAGGCCTTACTGATCATCTTCTTTACACGTAAAAACTGTGCCAAAGCATTTCTTTTTTCCTTTGTAGTTTAAAGCGCCATACATTGAATTAGTAATTAATATAATTTAATCGTTACTTTATAAAATGTAACAATACCGATTCTTTTCTTGTAACATCAGCATTAATTTTTAGGTACTTCCTATATTATTTCACCTATGTACTTTTGATCAAACGTAACAGTTGTGTTTGCTATTTTTAAACAATAGGAAATTTTTAGTTATTACTAAGATTCAAAAACCTATAATCTCTGTTTTGGAATTAAAGAGAAAAACTTTTAAATTTTTACTTTTTGTCGTTCTTTTAAATGCTGTTTTAACAAACGCTAGTTTTTGTAAAAATATTAGCTGAAAGTATTTTAACTTTTAAACTCGTTTTTCTGGTGCAAAATGCTATGCAAGTGGAAAATCGTAAATATAGGGGAGTAAAAGAGGCACTAATTTTTTAAAAAAAATTTTTTAGAAGTTATTTGCATCAAATTAATTTTTTTAAACTAAATCTATACACCATAACTCTCTTTTCATTGGAGATAGTTAATAATATTAAGAACTTGGAAAAATGCTTTATTAATTGTCATTACATCATGTAATTTTTTGTATGAATTTTTGAAGTGTAATGTTGTTCATGAAACAATCATTTTAATAATAATTTTCGACATAATAATTTTCGATACAATCAGAGAGCGTGGTAATTTAATTTTTATGGAAAACAGAGAGTAAATATGCAACAGTTGACAAACTTATTCTACTAAATTTTACGACACATTAAACATGGTAGACATGGCTATTATAGAATATGTATTAATCTGCTGTTTATTCTTTTCAATTTGTTGTCCGAATCATGATTGTGATTCATGCTTATTCTTTGGTGACAATTTCGAACAAAGAGAAAAAAAGCTGTCTGCATTGATCATCGTCAGTTGTATCAGTAACTGTTAAATATAAGTTCTCAAAACAAAGAAGTTTTATTTAAACACATTTTAAAGATTTCTGTCAGTTTTTCTTGAAATACTAGTATGATTAAAGCTACCATGAAAACTGCTATGAATAAAGTCATTAAATGACAGGTCATTACGTGTCAAATACTTATGCGAAACTTCAAAATCTTGTCAGTGAGAAATTTGAGAGAGAAAAGTTAAGCGTTGATAAATTCTTTCACTTTTGCTTAAAACTGTGTTTTCCAATTCAATTGAGGCTGCGAATATTTTTTTCACTTTAATTGAATCTGAGCACCATTTTGAAAAATCTTCACCAGTTAAGAAGAATTTTGTTCTCTGTAAATTTCCTTACCCTCTAAAAAAGCCAGTTTCTACTTTGCCTCATTCGAAAAAAAAAAATGCAGCAAAAATATAAAATTTTACATTGCTCACAGTCAGTAATGAAAATATGAAATATTCAAAAAGCATATCTTAATAAAAACTGAAAAAAGAACTTTTAAAAAACTTTTTGGAATTGAAAAATATNATATATATATATATAAACACAAGTTTTTTTTTCCTATTTACATAATTTATTGATTGTCAAAGTATGTTTTTTCGTTGTTGAAGGATTCATGTCTAATACTATTTGTAACACGGGTACACTTGTGAGTAATTTTTGATTTTGTAGTTATCATGACAGAAACATATGTTGCATTTTAATATTGTTTCATCCAGTCTACTAGGTAAAACTCAAAACTGTGACTATATAAATTTTTAAATAAATACAGTGCAATTTAATTTTTTAATTAAGGATTCCAGGTTAACTCCCTGACCATCGGTGGGTAATGAGTCACCAAATGAAAACATACCGTTTATACGAATACAGGTATATTACCTAATTTTTAAATACAAAAAGAAATTATTTTCTAACAAGCTCAATTCCTTTAAACACTTGTGCAGCAATAGTTTAATCTAAATTCAAATTATACTTAATTTGGAGCGCATCAATAAATTTTTCACATTAATCAAAAATACAATTTGTATTGCTTATTGTAATTGCTTTGTATATGATTGAAATGGGGAGATAATATAATCACGCATCATCATTTTCATGGACGAAGAAGGAAAGGAATTCAATTGTTGTTTTATTGAATCTTTTTTTTTCTATCCATACTCGATGAAAAATTCCCAAACATGTAGATGCGATTCTCCTGATCAAAGGATTGTTTAACAATTACTTACCTGAAATATTATTATCATTCAAGCCCGATAATATATATTTTTCCTTTTGAGCTCCGAGGCAAGTCGAAGAAAAAAGTGACGGATAATTTACTTAATTATACAGCATTGATTTGCAGTGTCAAAGTTTATAGAAGATTGTGTATAGTAACTTATCATTAGAGAGAAAAAATACTGATTCGAAACTGGTTTGTTTTATGGCTGTTCTAAGAGAATATTTCTGTGACACAAAACGGTGGATCATTCCTTCAATTCCTTTGAAGTCAATGGGATGAAACTAAGCTTAACATCTGATTATAATTTTAGGATCGATAAAAATGCCAGATTTAAAATAAACATACTATAATATGCTTAGAAGTCTGGATGTGTTTGGTAAAGATTGATATTCTTATATCATTTGTTCATCAGAAAAATGTAATGTAAGACTAGAAAATTTACATTGCTCGGCATGTTCAAAACATGCAGAAATTCCAATCTGGCATGTATTTTTTACGCTCATGTGCACAATCGGATATGCAAATATACCATAAAATACCAATTAAGCACTTGTCAAATTTCCACGAATATTGACAATTCGTAGCCCTATTTGTGAGTAACACTTCGGATACTTTCCTTGTAAGATGAGGAATGAATTATCCAATGTATAAGAAAAAATAAGCAACAACACTGTTAGGGGTTTCAGTCAAAAAGTACACTAAAATATCTGGCAGCAGTCTGTTCTTCCAATTAACAGTAAAATTTACGGCTAGGAAAATTTTTCACCTTTACGGTTTTGATACCGTTTTCTACTAGCATGGTTTCAAAACTGTAAAAATGGAGTTTAGCTTGAAAGTTAGGCTTTTCATTAGGTAATGGTTATTGGAGTTAATATGTGGTTAACTTGAGTTTTGTCAAATAAACCGTGGAGTATGGTTTAATTAGTTTATCAAGTGGTGCCATCTATCGGGAGAGACTATTGCTGCTAGACTTTTTGTATCAAGCAGCTCTGTGGTGTTGCATTCTTTGATTGAATGAGGGCTTCGTGTTCTATTAGTTCACGTCACCGATTGGTGCGTACAGGCCGCTGGAAACTCTCCACGTGTCTAAGGAATGGCAGAATTATTGTAATGTCAACGTTGGCTTTTGAACCTATGTTCAGCCGGCCATGAGACTGACACTAGTCCTCTCGGCTATAGTACGAACCCAGTTGCGTGGATTTGTGAAATGGAGCGGATAAAATTCCGGTTGTTTAACCTTATTAGATGAAAACAGTCAATAAGCATTTTTTTTCACACTCAACAACTATAATGCCATATTTTATAATTATTTGGCTGTTTTGATTGAAATTGTAAAATAATAATTACATAAATTGTTATTTAACCATTTTTTCAGAGAAATTTCTGAGAATGTTGAAATATACCATCGGTTTTTACATTTAAAACTGGAAATTTTTTTAAAATTTTTTCTATATAATATATGATTTCCTAAGCATGCTCTATAAATAACGAATAACAATTTATTAAATACTAAAGCCTAAATTTGATAGCTAGGTACAATAGGTAGAAATTCTTAGCCTTTTTGTAAGTATTTGTTTTGATGATATTGTAGTTCATTAATATGAAAAACAAAACGTGTTTTCATAAATTAACTCTGATTTATAATAGTAATAATATTATGCTGTAGAAAAATACAATGGGTAAGATAAAGGTCAAGATCATCAACCCTTCTTTTTAACTTCAAACCTTTATTGTGAAAAAGTTTGCTGATATTTTTCACAAAAAAAGGGTTGAAGTCACACAGCTATTGTTTTTTCTGTCTGAACTGACTAGGTGCACTTGATATAATTTCAATATGCATTGTTTAATTCCTTGATTTGACCAATTAAACCACAACTACTAGAAACGTGATTTGTTTTTGAGTTACGGATCTTTGTTTTTAGTTTTTCTCAGAGCCATCATCAGTTGTTT